TTGTATTTTCCGCTGAAAGCAACATTGTAAAGAACTAGCGCGAGGCCAACTATGTAGCACTAACTCGAAAAGTTTGGACTGAGCCCAGCACCCTACGCAGATGAGTGTTTTTGTTTGTGACCTGGTGGAAACGCAAAATCCACGTGTTGCTTTCCTGAATAAATAATCCTTGTGCCATCGGCGTTCTTGGTTCGCAACACTAGTCCTTTACACTCATCTGCGTATGGTACTGGGCCCAGACCGTCCCGGTTGCCACAGATGTCAATCCCCAGTTCTTTGACGTTACCTTACGTACCAAGGACTATTTCATGCGACGCTGCACTCCGATGTTTTTTCTGGTATTTTCCCTGCGAATATTTCGGTGTCAGAATATGCTCTGGTCCCACTACTAAATAGCAGTGGTTTGAGTAGTGTAGCACTATTGCTCCCCCTCACTACATTAGCCAAAGGCACATTAGGTAGCCCTAACTCGGAAAGTTTGTGACTAGTGTTGGCCGGATTCCGTAAAACACTGTTCCTATGTGACCGTTGACAGTTCATTGTAGATACGAGCACAAGAGTTGTACACAAGTAGACACCGAATGTCATAAACATAAAAACTCACTTTGCTACTGCACGAGGGGATTATTCATTGCCAAGCAGTCCGTTTGGAAGATGTAACAGGTATGAACGGAATGAGAATGGAGAGGTTTGACTCAAAGCTGAATTTGAGAATGAATAAACGACCAACTATTGGAGCTGTATTCGTTTCACATAGATGATCCGGCTGGCGTAGAGACATAACACGTATATTCCATGAAAACTCCAACACAAGCTACATCTCTCGTGTTCGTGTAAACATTTCGGTTACAATATATGTGAAAACTGTTTCTTAGCGGTGTGCACATCGAGACACCGAACTCTACGGTCCCACTGACTTGCTTGCTCACAAATGCAAAGCTTCGACGACAGCAGCTTTTTATATGCTCGGAAACTGGATGTTTTAGATAAACCAATCATCTGCGTCTGAAGAAACAAAATGGAGAAAAAATAGACACCATCTCCAATCAGTATGACAATCAACGGAATCAAAGATGATGATTACCATGTACCGCAAACGATTCAAATACAGGTTTTCCATCACTTCCCGCATGTGTTCGTTCACCAAATTGTTCATATTAAGAGTGGTTTGGGAGGAGCAGCTACCCCGCTCAAGGCTATCGTGAAAAGCCGATCCACTTGGGGGGCTGTTCAAGTGGCGCTGCATAAACCAAACGGCGTAGGTGGAAATGGAAAGGTATAAAGTTGCACCATATTTATATGGTAATCGGGATTTGGAGATCCGGCCAGATGGTGTATTGGAAGAGGACTGAGTGTTTCAGAATTCGTTCGAAAAGTCATGAAAACAACGAAGTAGCAGAGGAGACTTCTTTTCTGTGTTTGATCATGTGACTAATTTCAACAGGATACAAATGAAAACATTGACTAAGGCGTTAGAAAAACGATTGACATACGTCATGGACGGCATGTTAGTTACCAGCTGCGCAATCACTGTTCCATTTCTCAGGCTTGGTTGAATATGGGCCAGAGCACATTGAAAGTTCGCACGAACTTCTTCTGAGCCTAGAGGTCAGAGTTGCGCTATCCCATATTAATGGCCTCGAAAATTATCGGCATTCAGAATCTCACCGTTTTTGATCGATTTCTCAGTACTCAGTATCCAGTCTTACAGGCAGCTGTCTTAGTGACGAGATGAATAGGGTCGGTCAAATTAACAACAATCACGTTTTAAACCGTTTCAGTCAAACGACACAGGATGATGTTCAAGCATTCTATCACATTGTAATGCTACCAACCAGCAAACAATCGGATACACAGAGCGGATGGTTGTAGAATATGGAAGTTTGTTCGTGAGTTCGGGCAGGAAACTCATACACGATTGAGCGACAGCTGACTGAGCTTTCTCAGGATAACTTTGGTCGTGATGGTCTCCTTCGGAAGGGGGAATAATAAACGCAAGTTTCTTATCAACGGAAGATCAGCAACATCCACCTGCTGGACTACAAGTATTACCAATCATCGTCAATCTGAAATTTACCTGTTTATATGCTAATGCCTTGTTTTGTTTGTATCTCTACGTGACGGTGATGTTGACCCGTCAGTGGAACAGTACACCTCTGGCAGTAATTGGCGGATTTAACGGATACCATTAGCTCTGTGGTCAGGGCTGAACCAGAGGACAGGCATACTAGTTAGCAGGCCAAAGTCTCGTTCGTTATCCGAATTAACCAGACAAATCGCTCCACCAACTAAGAACGGCCATGCACCACCAACCACCAAATCAAGAAAGAGCTTTCAGTCTGTCAATCCTCACAGTGTACGGGCCGGGTGAATTTTTCTGTGTTGAGTCAAACTAAGCCGCAGAATCCACTCCTGGTTGTCCCCATCCGTCAATTCCTTTAAGTTTCAGCTTTGCAACCATACTTCCCCCAAAGCCCAAGGACTTAGAGGTTACCCGCGGACTGCCCGCGAGGACAATAAAAGAACCACCACGGATCGTCAGTTGGCATCGTTTATGGTCAGAACTAGGACGGTATCTGATCGTCTTCGAACCTCTGAATTTCGCTCCAGATTAATGAAAACATCCTTGGCGAATGCTTTCGCCGTAGTTTGTCTGGCAACGATCCAATAATTTCACCTCCAACATCGCCATACAAATGCCCCGTCTGTCCCTCTTAACCATTACTTCGGATCCAAAAACCAACGAAATAGAACCGAATTTTTATTCCATTATTCCATGCAAGAATTTTCAGGCACAAGGGCCTGCTTTGAGCACTCAAATTTGTTCAAAGTAGATATGCTAACCGCCCTCTATACCCGTTTAAAGGCATCTGGAACCATGCCGACAAACCCGAAGGCCTAGTCAACACCTGCAAAACAGATACAGCAGAAAGACCACACAACCACAACACCGACCCACCAAACCCAGGGCCTTAACAGCCAACTGAGAAAGTAAGTGACAGCACGTAGTCGTGAAACCCAGTTCCAAATACGAGCTTTCTAACTGTAACAACTTTAATATACACTTCTGGAGCTGGAGTTACCGCGGCTGCTGGTACCAGACTTGCCCTCCAGTTGGTCCTCGTTAAAGGATTTCAATTGTACTCATTCGACTCTGTTGAATCCCGTATCCGTATTTTTCGTCATTACCTCCCCGTGTCGGGATTGGGTAATTTGCATGCCTGCTGCCTTCCTTGAAAGTGGTAGCCGTTTCTCAGGCTCCCTCTCCGGAATCCAACCCTAATTCCCCGTTATTCGTTATCACCATGGTAGGCAGTTCATCTACCATCGTGAGTTGATCGGACATTTGCCCCCAGTACATTCACTGATCTGACACCAGTAATAGTGAAAGCGACCACATGTAAAGAATGAACACTCGCGGCACATCCATATAGCCGTCCGATAACTATGTAGACCACTTACACCATTTTTATTGGCAGAAGCAGTTTGCTCAACCGCAGGCAGCCCATTGCTGCGAGGGATTTACCGTAAGAAACACAATCGAACCGGGCATCAGTACAACCCGTTCAACGCAAAGGACAAGCCAGCCGGCTTAACAATTTGCCTACACTTACTCAAAATATATACACTTGCTCACATCAGAGCGAACATTGTAACTTGTCAGCCCGTATCATGAGCGCGTCCATACCAACTTGGCCACAAACGCCATCCAACACCAACAGCCAGTGAACGACGACACCAATGGCAGCCAGCATGCTCAGGAGGGAACCTATGCCCTCATCCAATGAATTGTATACCGGCAAGGTAGAATCTTGGCAATCACAGGCAAAGTAAGTGCTACCTCTTGCTGTGCTTGACAGTACTTCATTGGGCGTGTGCAAACGGCGCAGCTTTGACCTATATTTCACGATCAGTTGGCCGAACTTGATCACTGTGACTGTTCCGTACACGGCAGTCCGTAATGTCTGAGGGATCACCAGAACCACCTCCCTCGTGTACACAACAGTGCACTAGAGAACGATAACCCTATGCCTGCCCTTCTCACGCATGTCACAGCCCATGCAGCTTGAAGGATTTTGCATGACTGCCTTCGATTGCCTTCATTCGCGGGATTCGTTTGATTTCGGCTTGCCCAGTCAAGCCAATCGACCATTTTGGTCAACCTGTGGTATGTGCCTTCCGAAACCGCGACAGTAGTCAGCTCCCAATAAACATGCAAAACAAGATCACATTACGATTTCAAACATCCAAAATGGACTAAGACGACATTCCATACCGATCGGCCTGCCACCGACCGAACCTTATTTTGGCCCCAGTAGGACCATCTCTTCCCTTAAGACATGCCAAACAAGAAAAAGGAAACTTTTATTTCAACATGAGGGCTTTCTTCAGTTCAATCCCCCGGATTCGCTTCGAAGGCGATTGAATGCTGCTGCGATTGCTGAACTGTGATTATCGGATTGATGACCCCTTTCGGTTTACGCATCACTCGTCGCACCGGTCCATCTGATGAATAGGGAAATGGACGAAACAGGAGATGAAAACATGAAGATAAGTTAGGAAGATGCCATTTCTTTCAATCTTCACGTCAATTAAGTGAGGTGCATATAGGTGTCGTAGCATTTCAATGAACCGGTGACGGTCAGCAGCCAAATATCTGACAGATCTCGCTCTTTGAACCCAGCTTTCCTAAGCCCAGCCCCTGATTTGTGGTACAACATTCCTCTATCCGAGATGACAGTAGGAATGTGCTTATCCACCGAACCGTCCAGACTGGAATTGGAGCATACTTTCATTATCGTCTCATTGATGGCGGGCTTATTGTACATATCAATCTTCAAATGCCAGCTTTCTGCCATCCGCCGAGTGTTCACAATCGAGACATCCATCACTATTATGGAATTACCGTGCAATCCAACCAGGTCCAGCTTATAGAAGGTTAATGCCATGGGAATAACCAGTTTCAAGAAGACTTTGGTGCCAAGAGCAGCCAGCATTTTTTCTACTTTCTGCAGCACCCGGTTGTGCCGGACGTAGCAAGCATCACGAGTGAGAGCACATCGTTGCAGGATGTGTCCAATTGACTCTGGACAGCCGCACAGCCCTCGACAACACAAGTCATCAATGGCCCGCCTGCCGCCCATGCCACTTCATACTTTAGTATTTAGCAATCCTCCCCTTAACTGTATTCCCCTCATAAGCAAGCGTGGAAAGGCATATCGGGGGATACGAAACCAGTGCTGGCTAGCCTGGTCAACGCAGGTATTCGCTAGACCGGCACCGTCGCAGGACTTAACCAGAGCTTCTGTCCAGGCTGTCTCTTCCTCGAATTTCGAGCAAACCTGTTCACCTTGAACGAGGATGGGGACATTGGAAACCGCGATATCTGACAGCACAGCGTTGCACTCGACAATGTTCATAACCTCCGGTGTGGCGGAGTTAAGAAGTCTCTCAAATTTAGATATTTGTTCTAGCGGGATAGTGGTTCCCA